TTATGCTGAATGAAATATCTCAGTCACAAAAGGACAAATACTGCATGAGACCACTGTTATAAATATAAGGTGGGCACGTGGCAGGAGGAGAGCAGGAAGAGTATATAGATAATGAACACTATATTGGAATAGGTGAAGGGAAGGACTAGCTGAAAGGAAGAGAGGATTAGACAGTATATGTATTACAATTACTAATCTGGAACAAGAAATGCCTTAGAGAGTATACTGGGGATGATGGGGGGGTAGAAAAATGTGTACCCATAAATGAATGAAATCCCATTCTTTTGGTAAATTTTCACTAAAATAAAAAGAACTAAGGGGTGAAAATGAAATGTTTCTATTCCTGTGACATGTTATCCTTACAGAAGGAAAAAAAGTACACCCATGCTTGCTTAAGTGTCACTGTTTCTTCTTATTTTTTCCTAAGGCTGTACTTGAACTTTATTTTAATAATAATAAAGTTCATCTACACAAGCCCGCTCTTGGTGAGATAAACAGGGGCGTACCATATGACTCTTCCCACAGTCCCTGAAGAGGTCTCAAAATGGTGGGAAAATCACGATAAAATAGCACAGTACTAGATGGAACACCCACTTTGTTTACATCAAAACTTCTTTTTCATGACATCTCTTACCCTAAATTGAGATTATTAGAGGAATTTAGATCTTACTAATTAGAATGGAAATGCTACCAACTTTAATAAATAGTCGCTGTCAAGTTAACTCTGCCTCGTGGCTGCCCACGTGTGTCAGGGGAGAACTGGGCACCAGAGGGTTTTCAGCGGCTGGTTTTTCAGAAGTGTCATCACACCTGCCCTCCAAAGTACCTCCGGGGGACTCAGAACAATAGCCTTTTGAATTGCAGCCAAACAAGCTGTCTCTGCCTCTCCCACAGAATTCTTATCAGAAAGCAACCAACATATATCTTATTTCTCTAAAACAACAAAACCCCCTCCAATTGATATACATAAAATTCTATTATACACATTGTAAAATATTTATACTTGAGAAATAATACATATTTAAAAGGCAAACACTCCAACAACCCAAAGTGATTTTAAATTAGCATCATACAAAAAAAAGTCCAGTTTTCTGTAAAAAGCAGCCCACACTAAAACTCAAGCAAACAAATATTTGAAAGCCAAAACAAACCACACACTACCAGCAAACAAAAAATTGCCAGCATTTCCTTGAGAGTCCCAGGCAATTACTTGAGGTTTGAGATAGTGTATTGTTTCCTGGTTAAAATATGGCAGCCTACAGCTTCTGCTGTGACTGTACGGGATTAGCATAAGGGCTTTTCCCATGTTTTCTGCATGGCATGATACTGTCCAATTCAACCTTAGCATTTCTTTTTAGAGATACGCTGCTCAGAAAGCTGGGCCATTTTCACCCTATGACACAAAGACTGCTTAGAAGACCACACGTTTGTGAACTCTGGATTTTGGTCATAACAAAATTAATATCCGGGGGCAATTAAAGCTTTGACATTACATAGAAAATACACAGGCATATCTCATTTTTTAAAATTCCATATCACATACATTATTCTTTCTACAAATTCAAAGTTTATGGAAACTGCTTTGAGCAAGTCTATAGGCACCATTTTTCTAACAGCATGTGTTCAATTCACCTATGTCACATTCTAGTAATTTTTAAAAATACTTCAAACTTTTAAAAACTGCTATTGCATACTTAATAGGCTATAAAACTCATTCAATGGAATACTATGCAGCATGTAGGGGTAACGGTTTTGTAAATTGCTACCTAATTTGGGAGGGACTGGGGTTCATTAAGCTAAGTGAACTAACTCAGTCTCATAAAAACAAGTACTGTATAAGACCATTATTGAATGAGTATAAGGATCCAAGGAGAGTGGGAACTTAATCATAAGATTGCACAATTTGATGACTGGAGGGAGGATGGGTAAAGGAAAGGGGAAGGATCTGATGTGAAAAACAGTATATATGAATTTTATGAACTGTGTAGGTAAATCAGTATAAAATAAAAAAAAAATAAACTCCCCCTCCTCATTCAATGCTAGAGGGTCAGACTGATTCCCTCCAATGAGTTTTTGAGACTGTAAATTGCCCAAGAGGAGATTTAAATCTCTGGAGAGACATGGCCTCTGGGCTTGCAGGACACCTCCATACATATTATGCCACCAGAGCGTCCTCACTAGACTATTAAAAAAAAAAGGGCATTGTCTTTGAGTTGAATCAACTCATCACTGACACTCGAGCAGGCTTTCAGAGGTTATAAAGTGCATGGGAGGAGATTGCTCGTCTTTTCCCCTTGAAGCAGCTGATAGATTCAAACTGCCTGCCTTTGGGTTGACTCCTAGTCAACTTATCGTCCTTGAGGCTCCCCCAGAGCTCCATATTAGACTATCTTGGTGCTGTGTGCCATCCCATAGCTGGAATTGATCATTGACCCTCCAGTGGGTTTTCAGAGACAGGGAACTGCATGGGAGGAGACTGTCTATCCTCCTACAGGGCAGATGGTAGAGTCATGCCTTTGTGATTGCCACACAACTTAAACCTAAGTTTTATATGAATTGAAAAAAAAAATTGTGCGACTTGCTCTACTGTGATGTTCACCTTTATGTCTGCTTTATTGCAATGGTCTGGAACCGAACTGTGAAAATAACGTATGTATGGGTTCTGCTTCGGCAGACTGTTATCTCACTTCTTCTCCTGTTCAAACCAGGTCATGACAAAGGAGTCTTGGTAAACTTAAAGCCGACCATCTCTATCTACTGCTGTTTCCTATTCAAGTTGCTCCAAGAGAATTTCTATCTCTAGAGCCATCTAAAGAGAGCTTTGAAGGACTACTGGTAAGAAGCTGCACTGAAAAACCAAAGGCACATGCTTCAAATCCACCAATTTCTTTGCAGGAGAAGGATGAGTACTCTCCTTACATGAAATATACAGCCTTTAACAACTTGCTGGAGGGTCAGCTATGAGTTGGTTCTGATTCAATGGCACACAACAACAACCAACTAATTTATACACAAATAAACCATTAAAAAATGAGGAAAAAACTCCAGCCTCAAAACCATTCATACCAGTAAAAATACATATTACTCATACTATTTCTAAAAATTGTGTTGACACATGCCCAAGATAGTAAAATTTATTTCATTTTCATAAAATACAAAGTCAAGTACAAAATCTAGATTCAATTCTGGGGTTTAATCGGTTTTTTTTCCCCACCCCCAAATCTTGGTATCAGGAATAATTTGCTTTTGCTTTTAGGTACTATCAAATTGATTATGATTCACTGTGACCCTGTGAACAATGAATGGATCTGAATCCTGCCCTAGCCTGTGCCGTCCTCATCATCTCTACCACAGGTGAACCTACAGTTACAGTTACTGTCTCATTTCATCTCATCGTCTTCCTTTCCTTTACTGACCCTCCACTCTTCTGAGCATGATGTTCTGTTCAAGGTACTAGCTTCTCCTAATAACATGCCCAAAGTATGTGAAGTGAAGTTTCACCATCCTTGCCTCTATGGAGCACCCTGGCTGCATCCACTCCAAGACTTATTTGTTTATTCTCTTGTCCATCTGTAGGCTATTTAAGACTCTTATCTAGCACCACAACTCAATGGTATCAATTCTTGTCATCTGTATTCATTGTGCAACTCTCAGATGTATGCCAAGTAACTGAAAAGACTCAGGCGTGAAAAGATCAGGAATAATTTTATGTAAAAATTTTCAAAACAGAAGCACAGTGACAAATATTTATAAGATGACTCACTAATTAAATTATGTAATTCCTCCATCATTATCTTAAATGGGTTACATTATCAAATGCTTGATGTGTTAAGATGATTTGGAACAGAAATATAAGACCGAAGAATGTTATTATTTAATGCAGAGTATGGCAATCAAACACTGAAATTAGACGATTATCATATCTATGATCATTTTCTTTACATTCTGAAGAGGCAAGTTTAGCAATACATTCTCACTTTACTACAGTCAGCTGTTTGCAGTTTCAGGTAGTGCAGATGGAACTTACTAAAATATTCCTTTTTCTCTTGTCCCCTTTGTGTGTTCTCCTAAGGCACATTCTTTATCATAAGAATGTATATACATATTTTCATTTTACAATAATAGATGTTGTACCTGGAAGATTGAATTAGTTAAAACAAAGTTAAATACCAATACAGGCATACCTCGCTTTACTGTGCTTCTTTTTACTGTACTTGGCAAACATTGAATCTTTACAATGAGAAGTTTTGAGTAAGTCTACTGGTGCCATTTTTTCCAATAGCATTTATTCTCTTGGAGTCTCATTTTGGATACTTCCTTAATATTTAAAACATTTTTATAATGCTACTGCACATGCATTAGATTATGTGATTGTTGTTGTTGTTGTTGTTGTTGTTAACTGCTATTGAGCCAGAACTGGCTCAGAGCTGACCCTCCAATGGGCTTTCAGAGGCTAAGAGTCAGAAAGAGATTGGCCATCTTTCTTGCTTGGAGCAGCTGGTGGGTAGCATAGTGTAAACATATCTTTTAGATGTGGGAATCAAAATGTGTGTGGTTTGCTTCATTGTGATGTTCACTTTATTGCAGTGGTTAGATACTGAACGTGCCATATCTCTGAGGTATGCCTGTATCAAACAGATATGTCCCATTTGTTGCCTTATATTTGCAGAACAGTTAGGAAAGAGCCCTGGTTGACAGAGTTAAGTTCCACGGCCAGAAAAGGTGCTTTAATTTTTTTTCCAATTAACTATAATTAGTTGATATTAACTACAGATTAGCTTTCATTTCTTCAGTCTGAAAAATTGAAGGTCATATACAAACCAAATTAATATAATGTCTCCATTAATGTTTAATATTTTCTAAGTAGCCATAGCATTTTTATATAAAAAAGTGAGACTGGGTCTTTAGGGGAAAAAATACTGGGATTTCGAAATGCAGATGGAAGGGGAGAAGGACTAAGGGATTATAAATTAGAATCTGGTATGCTATGTACTACTTACCTTCAAAAGTCAAATAAAACTTTCCTCTGTCAAACCAAACGAGGGAAGGCTGTTCATTCTCTGTATGGCCAGGAGTTGAAGCGGGATGGGAAAGGTTAAGGAGAGGGAGAGAGAAGGACACAGTATGAGTTACAGAGCAGGTCATTAATCTCACTATGGGGTCAGGTAGAGGCATGGCATGCCATTAACGTGCAGGAGGGGGAAAAAGGAAGGCTGGTAATCTATGCTTTGTTTTAATTCAGGAAATAGAAAGCAAAAGCGAAGCTATGGATGCCTAAAGGGATGGGCATATGAGGCTGGCGGCTGGAAATTTGGTGCTTGTGTGCATGGAGCAGAAGTCTTCCTGGCCATGCAGGGGCGTCAGCATATTTTAACTGCACTAATTTGGGTAAACTGGCAATCAGCAATTGTGTCTCCATTTTATCTTCAATGTCATCCCCTTCTGTGTTTTTCACAAAAAAGATAGACTTTGAGTTATGGGTTGCAAAACACATTAGCTTTGGTTTTAAATTAAAACAACATTGTGTATCGATTTTAAAAGTTCCTGGAAGATGTCTTTTGTCTTCCAACCCCTCCCCTGAAATCACCTTAGTCATCCAGACTCAAAACACCCTTTACCTATGTACCAAAAAGAAAATATGGTTGGTTACTAATGCTGTTCAATTGTATTTCTTTATTTGTTTTTAAACTAAAAAATAGGCACTGGGCATGTAATGCTGAGCAGTTAAATTATTCCTTCCTTTTGAAAATTCACAAAGCAATAGCATCTCACCTCTTTCAAACCCTTTCATTGAGAAACTGTCATGCAACCTGCTGCTTTGTAACACGTTCACTTAAGGTTTCAGTGGCATGAATTCCACAATGGACAGAGAATATAGAGGGTGCATCTGAGAGGCACTGGACACTCATGAGGTGAGGAGCATGTCCATGGAGTTCATAGCATTCTGATGGCATAAATGGCTTGGATTTTTAAAGTCTAAGTATCTAGACATCACTCAATTAACACCATACCTGCAGGCGTTTCACAGCGCCTTTCAAACGAGGGCAGTTTGTCATAAAAAACATCATCTTCTGACACTACGAACCAAAGAAACATAAAGGAATGGAAAACAAAAACACAAATACAAATCCCAAATGAAATCAAGCAGCACACTTTACACACAAAACACAAAAAATTATTTTTATGGGGAAAAAAAGAAACAGAACTTAAGTCACTGGGTTATGACGGAATGATGATATGCTTCTTTCATGGTGATTTCATGAGAAGACAAGGAAAGAACAGGCTAAGTTTGAGCATCTGTGAATTTGGCTGAAGTCAGTCCCATGGTAGAAGTCACGCTCCATTTTCTCAGGGAGTTGTTAAAGGTGTTATCATTAATAATTGACTTGTGTGAGTGTGTTTCCATTGCACATAATTCTCAAGTGGCTAGACATATATCCATCATAAGGACCTCCTGACAAGAACGTTGACAGCTCAACAGGATCACCCAGCATGCACCACTTCCCCATGGGGAAGAAGCTTTCAACATTACCATAAAAAGCAACAGTACGAATTGTCATCCCCGCATGAACCATCTCATTTTAGCCTCATCAGTATCCAAATTCAATTTGCTTTGCACCTGCCTTTGGTAGTTACAGACTGTTAATTTTGAACTGCATCATTGTACTTCCTTCTTTGGCTCTGGACTCCAGCTGTGGCCAAATGTCTTTGCAAATTGGTCACAACATCATGAATTGATATACTGGACTTTAACTGTTACAGATTTTTGTACACAGTCTCTTCTCCTCACTATCACACACAGGTAATCAGGATTTTTCCACTATGCAATCAAAAAAAATTCTAAAGCCACAGCTCCTGTGGGCATTCTGCAATTTTAATAGGTAATAGAGTAGAATCTGGATAAAGATCAGTATGAGAGAATTTTATATATTAATATATTATAGAGTAGTAAGATAAGGAAATCAATAGAGTAGTAAAATGATTCCATAACAAATAATTTTTCTTAGAAAATAGTCCATTAAGTTGGTCCTAGAGTTTGGGAATGAGAAAGAGAAATGCTGCTTTGTCATCTCTCAGTGTCTTAGGACATCACTTGTCCATTACAGTTTTTATCATTCATGTGGTTTCCTTGGTAGTTGGAACAGGTTAATATAACTTCTGTGCTTCTGCGGGAGGGAAATAGGACAAATAGAATTATCAGTACAGGGCTCTCAGAAAACGGGAAGCAGTTACATGCACATTAACTGAATGTAAAAATGTTTTGACAGATTCATTAGAGGAAGACCCTCAACGGGATGGACTAATACAGTGGCTGCAGCCATGAGTTCGAGCCCAGCAGCAATTGTGAGGACAACACAGGACTAGACAGTGTGTTTTACTGTGCAATCTATGGGGTTGCAATGGGTCAGAAGCTACTTAAGGGTCTGTAACAACAACAACAGTGGAAAATAGGAGAGGATATTTCTTTCTTTCACAGAACTAATATCGCATCCTCTTAAAATGAGAGGCCTCCAGCATTGCCATCTTTTTCTTTGAACTGATATTATAACTGTATAGTTTCGAAACTGTTGATAGTAAGTATGCTTATGCTTTGCAGTGGTTGTAGATTTTGAAGGTTTACGGAAAAACCATCCTAAATAATGAGAGACTGTTAAAAAAAAAAAGAATCATTGGGAAGCCAGTGTCTGGTGTAAATAAGGGTAACACCCAATTTAAGTGCAGAGAGGAATTTCTTAAAGTACTAAGCATGGGAATTGCCTCAAATCAACCTAAGCTTAGGATTCTGAAACTGAAAACAAACCTTTCAAAAAACAGCATAAGGAAAAAAGAAGACTAAAATAAAGGGTGAGAATTTTTTATTGGGATAAAAGTTGAGAATTTTTTATTGGGATTAAAATTATTCATGTCTAAAATGCTATCTTTATATTTGAATAGAATAATTGGTAGTTAGTATAGGCAGTTTTTTAGAATGCTTCTTCAATTCTGAAAAGTTCTGTGAGACAAAAGAATAAAGGAAATATTTTAACTCTGGTTATTTAGCTATGGTTAAATTTTCATTTCTGAATTGAATTTACTTCTATATGAGGCCTATAAATTATTTCCTTAATATAGATTGTTAGCTATCAAAGCTTCCCTTTGAAATGCATAACTGTCATTCAAAGAATATGTTTAAGAGTGTATAGTATTGCCATTATAATAGTCTTTGTGCATTGGGGTCTTAAAGGAAGAATCACAGATATATAAAAAAATCCATTACCAAATATAGACAAGTAATAAAATGGATGTTTTATAAGTTGAGCTAATGCTCTGTTTTGAATAAGGAGATAAATGTCTAAAATTTTGGCTTTTCGAATAATTTGCAACATTTTCTCTATGTCTGAAATATTAACAACTTTCCCCCAAAGTCAACAAAGCACAAGTCATGTTAAACTTTTTCGATTCTAAGTATGATTTACTGTATTTCATAGATTTTAAGATGTGCATTTTCCTCTCATTTTATTATCTCTAAAAAAATGGGGTGCATCAATGACAAAGAATTATTTATAGTTTTGCTTTGTTCACACTTTATCTTCTCTTTCTTAGTTATATAATGACCTATCTTACAATCAAGGGTATCTTTCACCCAAGAAATATTGTTATCTCGGATCTTTTCATGACTTTTGAGTGACTACTGCCAAAAGAAATAGTATGTATGTCTAGGAGAATTTATAGTCAGGGTGCCACATGAAGGCAAGGATGGGGAAACTTCGTCTCACATATTTTGGGCATGTTATTAAGAGGGGCAAGTCCTTGGAAAAGGACACCATGCTTAGAAAGGTGGAGGGTTGGCAAGAGAGAGGAAGATCCTAGTGGGGACATGTTGACACAGTGGCTACAGCAATGGGGTCAAGTATATCAGAGATTGTGAGAACGGCACAGGACAGGGCAAGGTTCAAATTAATTGCTTGTCATTGTTCACAGGGTTACTATGAATTTTCGTAGCCACCTAAGAACACCAACATATACCAAAACAGAGCCCTGTGGTGTAGTGAGTTACATCCTGGGCTGCTAACTGGAAGGGCAGCTATTCAAATGTTCCAGCAGCTTTTTAGGAGAAAGAAGGGGTAGTCTAACTCCGGATCCTATTTATAGTCTCAGAGGCCCTACAGAAGGTCATCACGAATCAGGAATGGCTTGATGGCAATGAGTTACATTAAAAGAGGCTTATTTTGAGGTATGGCAATGGACTGGCTAGGTCCAAAATACTTTCGAGTTATTTTCTTATCTGAACTAGGAAGACAGGTTTAATTGCCCTTAAGAGTTTAATACTTGAATTTACTTTAAACTTTGCTTATTTTGTTCCTATCACACTTGCCAACTATCATGGCGAATGTCAACAAAGTATTGTGGTATCAGGAAAGTGTTGAGCCATTAATAGTGTCTGGAAATTTACTGCTGAAATTCTCTATCTCAAATAAGCCATGTGACTACATTCAATAGACATCCACGTCAGTGATGGAGACACCCCTGGGTGCTGAACAGCCAAAGCACAACCTCCGGAAAGAGAGAAACAGCAAACCACAAGAAGCTACTGACAGTCAGTCATTTGACAATACATTTGCTTCAGAGGGAAGTGTCTGTCAAGTGACCCACAGCAGCAGGAGGAAATAAAGAAGATGAGGGTGAAGAATTCAGTGGGAAGACAAAAACCAAAGCAAAATAACAGAACCAAAAAGATTAAATCAGAATGCTCCTCAGCAATGGAGCAATGCGACTACCCTCTCATATGGCTATTTCCTTTTATTAAACTCTCTGCAGGTCATCTTGAAAATATACAGGTGAGGTGTGTTAAGAATCAAAGGAGATGGATTTGAGATTTCTCCAGTGGAAACCATAGACATACAATGTACAAAATCCTGGACCTAGTTCAAGTTCCAAAGTGTGCAATTTTCTCTGAATCTGAACGTAGTGAAAGAATAGGCTCCATGTTTCATCTGAGGCCACCTGAGGTTGGCTCTCTGAGTGACACTTCACTCTTCTCTTTCTCCTTGATTATTAAGGGACAAATCACATGAAGGGGCAGAACACATGATTTTGGGGAATAATAAAAGCAGAGAGAAAGGAAAAAGTGGCTGTAACAATCAAGGAGTATAGAAGAGGTAGAGCTAAAAAAAAAAAAAAGATGGGATGTCATAGAAAAGAAAAGAGTGAGAGAGTAATTAAGAGCTAATAGACATCTAAAAAATAAGAAGCTCCCCAATTAATGCCCACATAAGAAATAGACTTGGCTATAAAAATAATGATACATGCCTATTATTACTCACATAGCCAGGTCTATTTCTTATCTACTTCTTACTCTTTAGATGGTAAGTATATGTCTATCAGAGGGAGCTTAGGTGGTATAGTCTGTAGGACGTTATGGTGCTAACTCAAAGGCTATACCTTTCTAGTGATTCAAATCTACCAGTGGCTACTTGAGAGAAAGATGAGTCATCTTCTCCCCTGAAATTTACAGTTTCAGAAATGAATTTGAGGGGCTTCCCCCCACCGGTTATTGTTGTTTTTAAGCATATGCCTATTAATGAACCATATGACACTGGTAGCTGGCTGTATTTTCTCCAGATTTGATGGGGATACTTGGAGCAGCTTGATTAAAAATATATGGTATATAGCTGATACTTTGGGGACACACCTTAAAATAGGTAGGTTTATTCTAGAGAGTGTCAGGCTTTGATCAAGCTACTTCTTGCATGAGCAACTCTAGAGCATGCTCCTTGGTAAGTAGCAACAACAATTTATTTAACCTCGGTTAATGATTCTCTCAAGCAAAGCAGGATACGTCAGTTGGCTTCAATACAGAGGGCTGGCAGAGGAGTTCCGGACAGTAAAGGGAGAGAGTGAGGAATGGAGTTGCATGGGGAAAATAGGATGGGGAAAACCCCATGTCAGACAAGACAGACAACATGCAAAACCAAGAGGGGTAGTAGGACCAGATGGAAGGTGAGTGTAATGGGGTAGAGAGAAAGACCAGCCTTGGGCAAAGGGAAGTCATTCCAGGCAAAAGGAGGCATTTCAGTGTGGGGAAATCATCAAGCTGAACAGCCATTTTCAACTCTTCACTTTTATCACGCCATAATGAAACAGGAACTAGGGCATTTACTGACAATGCCAGCAATGAATTAGTCTTCTGATAAAACTAATCACACATCACTTAAAAGCACTAAAATATGTTTAAAAGTTTGTCCATCAAGTCCTACAATGCCAATGTTTATACCATTTGCCAACATAAGGATACTAAAAAAATGATGAAGAAATAAAATAGTAAAGAAAACAAAAGTTTTAAATCTTATGATTTCTGATGGTTGGAATTTAAATAAACATGCCTCTTCAAAGGAGATTTTTACATGAAGAAACAGTATCTGAACGTTTTTGTCTTTTGCAATTTCTTCTTTCATTTTATTTTTTCCCCCTTCTTTACTTTTATGTTAAACCATAAGAAAATTCCTATAAAACACAGGAGTTGGCGTTCTTCCATTTGTACTCTTTTTTTGCCTCCTTTGCTGAGAAGGTGCTTTTAAAAGAAGAGTCAGACGAGAGTAGCAAAACAATTTTGACCAGAAATATAGGGTCTTGGAGATTTCAGAGTATATAAAATATCCAATCAAAACTACAAATGGATTAAAAGACAGGAGATGATTTTTACCAACTGTAGGAGTGGTGGCTGCACTCAAGGAATTGGTCGACGATATTGAAGAAGTGCTTTCAGCCCGGGCAAGGGGCGCTATCGGAGGAGGGCTGGAAGAGTGTATAGGAGGGCTAAAAGGTCTAGACTGCAGGAGGAAGAAAAAGAGATGGTACGTTAGGTACACAAATATGGTCATGTAATATTTTCTTGTCTCTTAGCCCCATATGTGATAACTCAGGTTCCTAAAGGGGTACAGATGAAATCATTTCACACTGCAATTGATTCACTCTCTCTTACTTGTGGAACGTAGGCAGGAGAACCATGGAGCATAAACATGTTAAACTCAACAGGTATTCCCAGGTCTGTGACGTGATCAGAGGTTGTTTTAAGATTCCAAACTCACAAGCCCTCAGGCACTAAGGAGATGCCATGATAAGAGCTCACAGTTATCTAAAGGGATTCATACACAAAACACTGCATTATGTTAGCCAAACCCAACATTACTGGCCTCATTATTTGAATACACCTGTGCATAAACACAAAGAAATTTGCCTCTACCGCAAACCCCTTGATGAAAGATCAGAATGTCTTAAAATACAAAGCAAGAAATTTCTGCAACAAATTCATGGTGCCACACGTCTCTTTCTGAAATTCATAGTATATCTACCACTAATAACTTTTTTTGTAATTTGCAAACAGGAGTGGTATCCACTTCCTAAACAACATGCCTCTGGAAACTCTATGAACTTTGAGAAATGTCAATAGTTACAGAAAGTCTTCAGGCCTTTTGTTCGTAGGGTCGCTATGAGTTGTGTTCAACTCGACGGCAATCAATAACAACAACAACAACAGTTTGGAGTCAGAAATAAAGACTCATCCTTCAAAATCAAGCAAATATTAGAAATGAAATCTCCTTTCCTAAAGGATTTAGCCTAATGGGGCAAAACCATCAGATCTGACTGGATCACAGCTGAGAGTTGAAATGTACACTTAAACTATGTTATCGTTGTGTGCTATTGAGTTGAAACCAAGCCATAGCTGACCCACCAGTGGGTTTTCAGAGGCAGGACATCACACAGGAGACTGCCCATTCTGTGGAGCAGCTGGTGGGTGACTCTCTTTTTAAGACGCCACCTGTAATGACCATTTGCATTAGAGCTCAAAAACATAGATCTAAAGTTAGGATGGCTTGTGTTTAGGCACTTTTTAGTTTCTTGTTGTCATTCTCACTTCCTATTCCTTCGTACGTCAGGGTAGAGGGAACATACCACATCTCCGACTCCAGGCTTCCCTGGAGGCAGCTTTGGCCGAGACGGAGGCCGGGGAGGAGGTGGAGGTGGGGTAGTGCTGCTGCACGGAACCAAGGGAGTGGCTGGTCGAGCAGGGGATGATGCACCTGAAAAAACAAACCAGTGTTATTCTTAACACTAGAAACATCATGGCCAAGGCACTGTCATCGCTTGATGCCACCTAACCCATTCTCACAGCAACAATGCCAGTATCCACTCACATCAGCAGTTACCATACTAATCACTATAGCACAAGGTATTTTTTTTTTAAGAAAAAAAAATCACTCAGTTCAAATATGGTTGATGGCAGAAGCTGAAGCTCTTTGCCTCTCTTTGTCATACAGCACCCAGTGAAAGGTAAATCCTTTTATTGCTCTGCAAATCCATTAACATTCTTTTGGCTGTGTGGTAGAAGAAACCTTTTCTTTTGACCACACACTCATCAAATATGTATATTATTATTTCTTGTTTATATTTAGAATTTCTTTATATCCTAGATGAAAACAGATACTAGAACTGAAGACAGATGAATGGTTCTTTCACGTTAGATTTTTGTACTTTAAACACATTAATAATTTCTTACATCAAAACATGTGCTTGACTTTATACATTATATTGACTTTATACAACCCAAACACATGGTATTAAGCAAAAGAAAAGATATTAAAAACATAAATTAGATGTTGTGTGAGTACTTGTGTCCACAATCTTAATGTTAATTTACAGGATTTTAATGAAAGAGGCTGCTTTGGAATCTGTCTATGTACATCTTTCCCATGATGGTTTTTGTGATGATTTTTCAAAGAGCCACTTGGATTTACCTTTCCAGTTGTCAATGACAAATGTATGAAACAAAGGAGACACAAAAAGGCCAGCATGCAAATGGCAGGACACCAGGATTCACAGGGGCCTGATCTTCAGTCATATACCTGGGATACATAGGAAAACTACCTGGATAAACACCTTGTTGTTGTTAGGTGCCATCCAGTTGGCCATAACGCACAATGATCTTGTGAGGAACAGATCAGAACGTTGACCTACCCTACACCATCATCACTATCTCCACCATGCTCAAGTTCATTGACGCAGTCACCGTGTGAGTTAATTTTGTTGAGGCTCTTTCTCTCTTTTGTTGTCCCTCTACCTTTCCTTAGAATGATGTCTTGTTTTCAAGGACGAGCCCCTTCTGACAACGTGCTTAAAGTATGTGAAGAGAAATGTCACTATCCTTGCCTCTAAGTAGAATGCAAAGTGCTCCTTAAGAAAGTCAAATCAATATACAAATAGATCTTATTCTGAAAGGTTTCAAGCACCCAAAGAGAGGATTGTCACTTTGGTGAGAAACAGACATAACATTAGCCCAATAAAATCCCAAGAAATCCTCCCTCAGGAAAATATTCCTAACCCCACTGGAATTTTCCAAGTGACCAAGTGCACATGCTCAAGAAAGTCTGAGATCAACTTAGTCTCTTTAGTTTCCTGTCCTCAAAAACTTTGAAGTTGGTCATCAGAACTCATCATCTCAGAAAGTACTTCTCAAGAAAATACATGGAGTGAATTTTTTTCTTCTTGTTACAACAATATGGAATCGTGGATGTGTTTTACTATGCTACTGATCCTAAATCTAATCATCTTGATGGAAAACCCCGCTAAATATTAATGCCATCCCATTCTACTTCCTCCACTGCCCCATCTCCAGTATCTATAGGGACTATTCATCACCTTCACTTTCTTAACATACTCTTAGTTTTTATTTTATTGAGCCAAGATTTATGCTAACAGTGTGTCATATATTATCTATTTAATACTTATAGAAGTTTCTAAGGTAGGCATTATAATATCATTGTCTAGAGGGGAAAAGTAGAACTCAAAGATATTCAGTAGATTTCCCAAGGTCATACAGCTCTAACAGTCTATTTAACTCCAAAGTTTAAGCTCTTAAACACAAGGTCTTGTGCTCTTGTTTAGATGGACTGCAGAGTCCTACATGTTGCATAAAGCCTGTTTCTATTTTTACATATTCTGCCTTTTACAAATCTCTCAACATAAATATTCTTAGTCTTTGGCTAATCTCCTGAGAGGACAAAAATAGGATATGTTTTGATAGATTCGGTCACAAAATTTTCTCGAGTAAAATATATATATATATATATGATAGATTCTATGACAAAATTTTCTCCGAGTAAAATATATATATTTTACATTTCCCAAAAACAGACATGACAACAAGAGATGGAAAAGAAATCTTTAAACAGTTAATTCTTTGTCAGGACGTTTCATGGTGATTTTGGGAGTTCTATTTCTCATTGTGGGAAAATCAATAGTTATCCAAAATATCTATCCATGAGTCTACTTCCAATCATTATTCTTCTGAAACCTTGATTTAAAAGGTCAGCTGTATATCCTAGTCCTGTTTAAATAAAGAAAAACAAAACAGAAACCCCTTAGATTTATGCTTGGGAAAGTCCTGACGGGTTGTAACCAAAGTAGTGTGGAAATACTGAAAAAAAAGCAGTGGAGGAAGGGTTAGCTGATCTGAGTTCTGGTCCCATCCACCTGTTCCTAACTATGGGATCTCAGCAGGCTACCTAATCTCTTTGAGCTTCACCTTTCTTGCTTAAAAAACCAAAAAAGTTGCTAAGACTAAAAATTAAAAATGTAATAAAAGTGTTCACTATGTGATAAAATGCTAAGCAAAGATAAGACAATATATGTTGAAGGTGATGGTAAACGTCTTTTGGAACAGAGCATTAAAACAACATGCTTCTCTCTCATTAACTGCCATTCTGTCTCAACTCATTCATAGGTTTTCAGAGGCTGTAAATCACACAGGAGACAAATGTTCATCCTTTTCCCAGTAAGTGGCTGGTGGATTCAATTTACCCACCTTTGGGCTGGCACCACAACGCCTTAACCACTAGGTCCCCAGATTCCCCTAAAAATGTGCTTAGTCAATGACTTTCCTTTTTTATTATGGACAGCTTGTTTATTAATTTATTAATTTATTTTTTTTCTTTTCCTGTACTGCTTGCTATAGTTGATTTGCTATATAGTTAGGAAGACACTGAGTATTTAAAAAGAAAACAAAAAAACCAAAACCACTTTAGTGAAACATTTCTTACAGAATTTTGAGTCCACAGAGCCATTCAGAGCCTGAGGGGACTTTCCCAACCTTCAGGTGCTTTTGTGAGACCATACAATCTTTATGTATTTTAAGAGTCTAGAAGACATTACTTGTTTCTATTCAAATGATTCTATCTTCAATTACACTTTCATTCTTCCCCTTCAGGACTATTTACATGCAAGGGCAATTGGAAAACTAACTCAATGTCATCTCTGTTTAAAATGTAAACTAAAAACTAAAATTAACTGTCCTCAAGTCTATTCCAATTCAGTTATAATCCCTTTTATTAGGTTTTTGAGACTGTAAATCTTAACAAGGGGACACTTCCCATCTTTCTACTTAGGAGAGACTGTGGTTTCGAACTGTCAGAGTTGCAAAGCCTTTTATTTCATAGGACAGAACACTATGGACTATGCCACCAGAGATGCCTGCTTAAATGTTAGCTTTAAAAAAAAAAACAAAACCATGTATATTACTTGAATTTTGTGATTTCAAAAAATGAGCACTTGATAACAGGTTCTCAATCCATTCACGGCTCTTAGGTTGAGGTTCCATCATTGTTTCTTTGGTCACATCCAAGAACCTCTTATCTTTGGTTTCACCTTTTACCTCTCACTGTGTGTGCCTGCACATGTGTTGTCAGGGGCTGAGAAGGAATCAGGAGAGAAGGGGGATAGCTGATGAGGTTGAGGAGAAGTGGTCAAGATGCAGGCCATAGAACTCAACAGATCAGGTGTCAGATTGTGGTTCTTGACTGTGACTGTCGACCTTTCTGAGCCTTAATTTCCTTATCTGCAAAATGGAGCTAAGATACATTAAGGCTGGTTAAGTAATTGAATTAAAACATATGTAGCTATCTAGTTTCATATATACATTAAGAACAAAGCAGTCATCCTAAATTATGTTCTTAGATCCTAATAATTTTCTCTATAAGAAAATGCTAAACATGTATGGAAAGGGCTGTAGATAATATTTCTCTTTTTTTTCCAGTTTCAGTGTCATGGTGCCCAATGCTTTGTTCTATTTTGCTTTTTTAAATAGTTTGCTTACAGAGTTGGTATACATTATGTTTCACACTACTCTTCATTGATACTGTGTTTAAAGTAGCACATTCAAAGTCCTAAGGCAGTTCCTAACTGTTCAATTGATCCAAGAGAGTTTTCTGTGGGGATGAAAGTGCTGTCCTCAAAGTTAGTCAGTGTTGGCCACTGAAGATGTGAATTGTGGTTGTGGTTACTGTAACTGAGGAAATGGATTTCTGTTCAAATTCTAATTCATTATAATGACAATTAAAACCATCATGCGTGGTGAGTGGCTACAATACTGAACAGGGCAGGTTAAAAAAGACTGTAGTTAGAAAATTGCCACCATTAGTTGCCATGGATTCTGAGAACCTGTATGTGCCCAAGTAGAACTGCCTTATAGGATTTTTCTTCCATTTTAAAATTGTGATTTATTTATTCTTGCACATATTCTTTCCTCTCTGTTTCCTCTCAATTCTACTTGTAAGGCTATTAATATATGTGGTTTCTAATTGTCCATTCCTTATAGAATGTCTTTCCTTTCTCCCATTCCCGTGTAATGTACATTACCTATACAAAGGATCTGTTTGGTTTGATACATAGGATTTTTGAGGCTGTGACTTTCTGGAAGCACATTCCAAGATTGGTTTCTGAGTAGTCCCTGGGTAGGTTCATTTGCTTACTTTAACCTCTTTATCCCAAACTTACCTACTAGTGAATGACTATGTATAACATCTACTAATGTTGTTTTAACTCTTTAAACTGGGAAAGGTTGCACTGAACAATCTATCTATACTGTTATTTCTTTTTCCCCATCCCTCAAATTTCTTACACACCATTGAAATTTTTGTTCTCATTCCTAGCATACAACTTGCGTAAGAGAATGGCAACCTTTGCCAACAATCAGTGTCTTCATTCTAGTAAGACAGCGTGTTGTCCAAACAAGATATTAATGATATTTTGCAACAAGAAAATTAAAGTTCTTGGAGCAAATTCCTAATTTCTGTCTTACAGCACTGGTGAACTCTTCTACCCACAAGGATGTAGGTACTGTCTATATTTGATCAGCCACAGTCACCTTGTGGTGAAAGAAATTTGGGAACCAAGCACACTGGCCCCAGGCAGATAGCACAAGGAAGTACAGGGAAAGTAGTTTCATCACGCTCCAGGTTCTAAAAAGGCAGGTATGACAGGAACTGCTAATCTTTAAAACATGAGGCCACATTCTACTGTTTTAATCCTAAATTTACATTTCTACTAGTCTGTGTATGTTCCATCAATAAAAGATCAAGCAGCAAATAAACTGGGACTTAATTAGGCAAGATAATAATGCAAAGTTTTATTTATTCATGGGTTTCACTGGATCAGCTCAATACTCCACTTAGAAATTCAATCCTTTAATACAAGCAAAGTGCAGCCTTTTCCAGCTCAATTATTAAAAATCAATCGTCTTCACTGTTTACATTTAAAGATCATTTCAAAGAAGAATATAATTTCAAGCAAAGAGATGGTACTGAAACTGTTAAAAAAATCCTCGTGACTCATAAGATCGGTGGTCAATTAAATTGTGGAAGGTGATGGAGCAAATAGAAAGAAATAATAGAGTCTACTCTTGCTCTAGTGGTTAAGTAGTTGTTCTGTCAACCCAAAGGCATGCAGTTCAAATCCAGAAGCTGCTCAGTGGGCGAAAGAAGGGAAGTCTCCTTCCTTGATAATGTCTGAAAGCCAGGGTCAGCTATGACTCAGTTCAGATTTGATAGCACATACAATCAACCTTCTCCCACTAAAGGTGTTTAGTTTGAGAAGAGCATTGCAACCTCTCACTGGAGGTAGCTAAGCATTCCTTGCAAAGTCCAACCCAGCAAAGAAAGGCTCAGAAAAAACAGTGAACTCACATTCCTCTTCTACAACCTGACACCCAGTTTTCTCTTTTCAATTAGAGTAGTCTTCACATACAAAGAAGAAAGGAGCCTGTGCAACACAAAAAAGGCCTAAAAAGGCAATAAAGGATACATCTGGAGAGAAGAATTTTGAACAATTTTTTGATAACATTTGTGCTATATAGGTATGTGTTAGTGTCAAATAATCTGGAGAAATTTCATCAGTAAACCTTTATAAGGTTTATCCTTATAGGGTACCTGGACAGCACAGGGATTAAGAGGCCATATTTTGGATCTGACAGACCTGAGCATAAATATTAAGTCTATCATCTCTAATTATGTAAACTTGAGGAAATGACTTAATGCTTGTGGCACAGTTTTCTTTGTAAAATGAGAGAAAATAATAATACATGTGGTGTTGCTTTTAGAATAAAACATATGGTATTAAGCACTGGGTGTGGTACTTGGGACTAGAAACTATAGCTGCTACTTTTCTTGGCAAAATAATGGCCCTACGTGGTCATATAGCAAAGAAATATACTGATAATGTTTATTATAATGTTTCCCAAACTTATTTGAGTTTTGAATAATTTCTTTTTTATGAGGGGAAGTATATAGGAGCACACCTACGTTTACAAAACAGATTTTGTGTGAAGTACACAGAGAACACTCTGTATAAGAGTCTCCAATGAAAGAGGAAACAATGAGGCCTGAAAATAGAAGCAAATGTTTTTTTGTCTCTTACCAATTCTGAGTAACAGACTAGTCACCTCTTTGAAACAAATGAAGAATAGCAGATGCAACTTCATAGGTCTAATCCAAACCCACATGTACAGGTAAGAAGAGACTGGAGGATACAGTTAGATACTTGAGGACCAGTGGAATAGATAAGACGGAAGAGGATGCACTAGGAAAAAAACCTGAACCCTGCTGCTTCTTTTATATGTATGGCAGATATTCCTATGGTTTCATATTAGGAAATACAAAACCTCCCAAGTTTCAAAAACAAAATTTGCAACTAGAGTCCCCAAAAGTACATTTTTGAGAAATCTTTTCCATTACCTGTCACCACTGTTATTGTATACTGTCGAGTTGGAACTAATCCATAGCTGGCCCTCTAGTGGGTTTTCAGAGGCAGTAAATCACACAGGAGGAGACTACCCATCTTTCTCTTGTGGAGCAGCTGGTAGATTTGAACTGTGTACCTTTGTGTAGGCAGTGCAATTCCTTACCACTAAGCCACCAGAGTTAATATCCTTTAGAGTTAGTATCATAGGCTGATAAATGTGTCAAATGGTGAAATCAAGTAAGTACAGTTTTCTTTTCAATAACAACTTGATTAGGTTGGGGACAAAATAAGACACTCTCCTTTTGCTTTCCCAAATGCCTATTTCAAATCCTGATATTTTGTCCAGAAAAAATTTTTTGTTTAAAGACAAACATGATCTTCTTTCATTACCCACCCAACCCCTCAACACACAGATGATCCAGAAGCTTCGTAGGGGCATCGGACAAGGAAATCAGACATGAAACCCACACACCGTGAAAGCCAGCTTTCCAGAATTGTCTTGCATTCCAAACAATGACACCAAGGCTTGCGTTAAATGTAGATTATTTTCTACCTGCAAGGTTGGGGCAGGGCGCTTCTAAAGACTGAGAGAGCAAGGCAAGAAAACATCAACAGACTTGGACTATGACTACGAGCATTCGATGATCTAGTAGGACATGCTACAGGGCCACAGGACACCCAAACCCAAGGAGGAATAGCTGAAGCTCTAAAGCCAACTGCCAGCCAGGAAAAGGGTATTGCTCGCACTGCAGCCATGGCCATTGCCTGTCACACAAAGCACACCAAACAGCAAGACCTACCACTGGCAGTCCCCGTACCACCGCTGGAGCCAGGTCCAGGGGACGAAACCACAGTCCTGTAGGTGGGTGGTGGTGGGGGAGGTGGAGTTGCTCTCTGTCCCAACCCAAAATCTTTAGGAGATGAGATTGTTTCTAAGTAATCATCTTTAATGAAAGTCTGCTCAGCAACTTTCTTCTGGACTTCTTCTAGATTGAGTGGCGATGGTACATTGCGAGGAGGACCCAGAGGGCCAGGAGGGCCTGGTGGCCCTGGGAGGCTCTGGGACACAGGAGGGCCTGGAGTTGGGGACTCCGCTGGGCTTTCTGATGTCGCTGGTGGGGACATCACTTTTTCCCTTGGAGTCAACTCTGGAGTAACATGTTCCGGAGATGTGTCAGAAAAATGGACCCACTTTTCTTCAGCATTAAAAGCAACAGACTTGGGGGACAATACTGGGCCGAAAATGCTGTCCAAATCATTGATTGATGGTAGCTTTTCAATTTTGACCTCTGTAGCTGACGGGTCATTTCCTGTGGTTAAAGCAGTTGATTTTAAACTCAGTTGACTTTACTAATGTTATTTATCTGGGGAGGGGGAAGGCATGATTGCTATGAGCATAAGGCAAAGCCTGACAGATATATTCTCTTTCTCTCTCTCTCTCAGCCTCAGTGGGCATAATTTTTATGAAGCAAAAATATCTGCATGAGATTAGAAGCTGAGGATGAGGGAAGAGTTCCATTATTCTGTTTCCCCCTGTGACCATCACTGTTTCATGCTGTTAGTTACTCTTTTGCAAGGTACTCACAGTTACATTTATGATCATTAACATGACGAGCATCATAAAGCTCTTAGAGGCTGCTTACAAGTGGATGATTGTGGTGTTTTAAGAAGACAGTGTCAGGTTCACAGAGGAATATAGGTGGTGGGAACTGCAAGTTCTAAAATGGACATGACTTTGGACAATCTACTGAGATAGGCACAACACAGTAGGTTTTTGTATGTTCAGTATTTCATATAATATTTTATAAAAATTATCTACTCTAGGATATTAAATGAAAACATTTGAGAAACTAATTAGGACATCAGTTGACTTCAAATATTATCACTTTATAGTAAGTCACATCTAACAGAAATGCAGTAAAAAAAATGCTCATACATATATAATTGTAAATACACACACACACATATCCAACATACAACAGACATAGAGAAGACGACTTCTGACACTTAATAGAATTGTTAGAGAAAAGTTGTAAATACACACACACACACACACACACACACATATCCAACATACAACAGACATAGAGAAGAAGACTTCTGACACTTAATAGAATTGTTAGAGAAAAGTCCTGGTGGTGCAGTGCATTAACTATTGGGACTTTAATTACAAGGTGGCCAGTTTGAATCCACCAGCTGCTCTGTTGAGAGAAAGATGAGCAGTTGCCTCGGGTGAAGGTCTGCAGCCTCAGAAGCGTAACGAAAGATCACCATGATGAGGCAGAACTGACTTTATGGAAGTGAGTTTGTTTTCTTGAGACCTGTTACATTTATACCTGTTCAACAAGGAAGAATATTTTTAAAGCATCCACATTAATTATTTTCTCTTCATGTCGACCTGTTAAGAACACTGGCATGACTGTCATATATATCTCTCTGAAGTCAAACATAAAAGTTTCTTTCACTTAAAGTCAGAGTCAATTCTCTTCTTAATTCATCTCGGACAAAAGAGAAAATCATGAAAAATCTTTTTTTCCCTACACTTTGCAATAGCCTATTTGCTAATAAGTGACATGTGAGAATTAGTTCCAACTTTAAAATTAGAAATTGTTACCAACTAAGTAGAAGGCAGTGGCAGATGCTTCATGGAAGCGAAGCTCCTTTACAATTAAGTAAACTATGAGTTTATTTAATTAAACAATAGAAACTATATAGTCTAAATAAACAATAAGTTCTATAAGAACTGACTTAGTACTTAGATATTTAAGGTTTGAAAGTAACCTTCCAAGTTACAATAATTGAGGCAAGTGAGATAGTATTACTCATGATTTACAACATTTTTAGCATTTTTGCTGGTTTGTGGTTTGCTGGTTTGAGTCTCTTCTTTCGTTCAACTTCTACTTTACCAAGCATGCTGTCCTTCTCCAAGGGATGGCAGTTCCTCTTGACAACATGCCCAAAGTTCATGAGACGAAGCCTGCCTATCCTTGCTTCCAAGCCACATTCTGGCTATAATTGTTTTTTAATTATCTTCAGTAAGATTTTACATGAGAATTACATTAAAACATGCTAGAGGGTTAGCAATGGGTCGATTCCAACTAGAAGGTACACAGCAACAATTATATTAATAAAATAGTTCAGTAATTTCTACATTCAGCAGAATAATCTTTCTTTGCAAGGGGCATTAATATGAAAATCTTCTTGTAGGTTGGTCAACCAGGTCTTCTTTACACAGATAAGCAACTGCTTTCAGAGTTCATTCATTTGGCCAAACATCTCAAATGGTAGTCCATCAGTTCTTGAAGCCTTGTTTTCACTCAGTCCCTTCAATGCAGGCTAATTTCTTCCTTTAATATTGTGGGTTCTTAATATTTTACCTCCTGAAATAGTTGGACACAGATCAAATTTTTTAGTACAGTTAGTGTATTCTTTATATCTTACCTTGATATTTCCTGCATCTTTCAATATTTTGCCAATGTTGTGTTTGTTAGGTGTTGTCGAGGTGACTGTGACTTCTAGTGACCCTATGAACAGATTCGAACCCTGTCCTATCCTGTGCTGTCCTCATCATCTCTGACACTCTTGAGCCCATGGCTACAGTCACTGTGTCAGTCTGTCTTGTTAAAGTCTTCTTCCCTTTTGTCCACAGAATCTTTCAATATTGCAACTTGGGGCT